CTTTTAATGCTGTTTTTAATGTTCTATGAAGACGCTCAACTTTGCCATTACACGAGGGGTGGTAGGCAGTAGAGTGTTGTAAATTGATGCTCCATATTTTGGACAAAGCTCGTAATGTATCACTTTTACATTGGGATCCATGATCACTAATGAGTTTACTTGGCGTTCCGAAACGCGCAATCCAGTTGCTATAAAAGGCTCTTGCGACGTTCTCAGCGGAAATATTTTCTAAAGGAATTGCTTCCATCCAATTCAAAAATCTATCTATGCAAGTAAGACAATAAATATTCCCTTTAAATGGTGAAAGTGGTTCTATGAGATCGATATGAATGACAGAAAATCTTCCTGGTGGTACTTCAAACTCACCTAATTTTGTTTTGGTATGCCGACTGATTTAGCTTTTTGGCAAGGAATGCAGGTTCTTGTCCACAACTGTACATCTTTTTTTATGTTAGGCCAAATGAATTTTGATGTCATTAATTTCATAGTCGATTTTATTCCTGGATGTGATAAACCATGAATTCGTTGAAAGACGTGTTTTCTGAAAGCCTGAGGAATATACGGGCCGACCGAATATGTTTATTTGATGTATCACACCACAAATATTTCCCCGAAGGGTAGAGAACATTGCTTGATATTCAAGGAAGTAGTGGTTTGCAAACTCTTCAGTTCTTCATCTTGAGTTTGTTCATCAGCTATTTTATCATAATCTATCAATGAAATTTCATTAAACTCTAGATAATGTATCCGCCACAATATTATTCTCACCTTTTACATATTTGATATCAGTCGAAAACTGGGGAGATGTATTGAAGTTGCCGAGCCTGTCTAGGTGCTGCTTTGTCAAGTTTTTGACGAAAGGCGAATATTAAGGGCTTGTGATCTGTATAAATTGTAAATACTCTTCCTTCTAGATAATGCTTAAAGTGTCTAACTGAAAGATATATGCTTAATAGCTCTCTATCATAGGTGCTATATTGTTGCTGAGTATCACTTAATTTTTTAGAAAAAAAAAATGCTATTGGCTTCCACGAGGAGTTTTCATATTGTTTGCAACACTGAGCCAATCGCCGTATCTGAAGCATCTGTAAATAACGCCAGAGGTAGTTCAGAATTGGGAAAAGACAACAGTGCCGTGTTCACCAGGTCATTCTTGCACGTTTCAAACTGTTTTTCAGCTTCTTCAGTCCATTCGATTTTACGTTTGTCCCTCTTTTTAGCTCCCTTGGATACGCATGTAACAATGCTTGATTCTTCGCTGCATCCTTTATATAACGACGATAAAAATTAAGTATTCCAAGAAAAGTTCTAAGTTCATGAATTGTTTCTGGTCGTTTGTAGTTAGTAATAGCTTGAACTCTTTCTGGCAAAGGACGGGAACCCTTAGGTGTAATTAGGTAGCCTAGAAACTCAATTTAGGGAACAGCAAAGACAGATTTTGAAACATTAATTCTTAACCCAAATGTATGTAATCTTTCGAAAACTAATTTAAGGTGATTTTCGTGTTCTTCATGGGTACTGGATGCAATGAGTATATCATCTAAATAGGGAAATACGAATTCTAATCCTCTAAAGACTTCATGAATAAATCTTTGGAACGTTGCAGGAGCACTTTTTAAACCGAAACTCATTACATTAAATTCGTATAAACCAAAAGGAGTGATGATAGCCGTTTTACATTTGTCTTCTTCGGCAATGGGAATATGAAAATAAGCTTTGAATAAATCAATTTTAGAAAAAATATTTGTACCTCTTAAAATATGATGAAAATCTTCAGTGCGAGGAATTGGGTATCGATCAGGTATCGTCTGCGCATTCAATCGTCGGTAGTCTCCGCAAGGACATTATGAACCATCCTTTTTCGTAACAAGGTGCAAGGGGCTTGACCACTGGGAGTTTGATGGACGAATTATTCCATTGTTCAAGCATAAATTTAAATTCCTCTTTAGCTATAGCTAAGCGTTTTGGATCGAGCTGTCGTGCCTTTGAATAAACGGGTTGACCAATCAGTCGTAATAAAATGTGTAACACCATGTTTAATTTGTGTAGGAAAAAGGTTAGGTTTAGAAATTTCGGGATATTTCGACAGTAAATCGAAATTTTTATCGATTTATTTAATGTGGTTACTGAGTTAATCACTGGAAATAGCAGCGACATCACACTGGACACAAGCTGTGTTACGCCATCAATTAATTTTTTCTATTTATATCGATAAGCAATTTATATTTGTGAAGAAAGTCAGCTCCTAAAATACCTTTTGTGACATCAGCAATTATGAATGGAAACTGAAAATCACGACATAATCCCAAATCAAGAGTTAGCGTTTTTATGCCATAACTGGAAATATCTGTGCCATTAGCTGCATACAGTTTATATTCAGTTTTGTATTTATTCTGTGAAGTAGCATGAATTATGCTTACGTCAGCTTCGCTATCAATAAGAAAGTGCAAATTTGATCTTCGGTCACGAACGAATAAACGAAATTTGTGACAATCCTTCATATTTTCTGCAGCAGCGTTTGCCACTGAACCTACTGCAGATTCGAGTTTTCCTGGTTTTTGGAATCGTTTTTTACCCAAGCATACGGAGGCTGGCATTTCTCTGGAATACATTTTGCTCCAAATCGAAAGTGATAGAAACAAAATTTGCCAGTAGGGTCATATCGTTTACGAGATCGACTTCGAGATCGTGAACGTGAGTTACGTAAATCCGAGTCCCTGCGACTTGAGCGAATGGTTATTTGATCAATTTTTTGTTCAAGAAAGGTAATTCTTTGCAACAAATCATTTGCGGGAACTGAAGGAGCATTAGCACTAAATACTTCTGGTTTCCGATTCATATCACTAATTTTATCTGCCATAGACGCTAACTTGGTTACATCTTCATCACTAACTAATAATATATTTTTTATTGAGTCAGGTAGCTTCTCCAGCCATAAAGTTTTGATTAGATTTTCAGACACATCTGTAGTAGCAACTGATCTCAACTTCTGCAAAAGTTGGCTTGGTTTTCATATCTCCAAGTTTGATACCAGTAATCAAACGTTTTTTTAATCCGTACATTTTCACTTTCTTTGAATAAATGTAATAACCTAATTTTAGCATCCGAATATTTTGTGGCACTATCGTTCGTTACAATGTCCCAAATATTTTCGATGAACTTAGGTTCAAACTGTGAAACTAAATAATTAAATTTCGTTTCTTCTGAAACGATATTACTAATTTTGAACTGAGCTTCAACTTGAAAAACCCATATTTCTGGTTTATCAGTTCAAAAAGGAGGTATTTTTACACTCACCTTATGAAGCTCTGGTGACTGCATCCTATCTTTCATAGCAGTTTCAGAAGAGTCATTTGTTGACATTTCGAAAATTAATCAGGGTCACCACGATGTAGCCTTGGCTACTAATATTTAAAATTAATTTATGACTAGGAACAGCATGAATTATAAACAAATAGCTAAGTTATTGCATTTTTATTTTCCAGCTATCGAAATGCGACGCTACGAGCAACGTTTTGAAACCAAAACCTAGCAATCATGAATCAGAAACTAGAACTAGTTGCCATTCAGCATAAAGAAATTTAATATAAATATGAACTACTTATTGCCATTCAGCATAAAAGAAATATAAATATGAATATTAACAAAATATTAAAGTTAATTTTATAAAATAATTAAACACATGAACAAATATATGAAATGAAAAATAATTATTTCTCATGCAATAACTGGGCCACTACAAACTTATCCACAATTGCCACTAAATCAAACTACTTTAATGACAGTTTCATGGTCAACTGGATAATATATAAGCACTTAAACTTATAGTTGTAATACTTTTAATTAGAAGGCAGGAAGATGATAGTTATCTGATAGTCTTTTTAGTTATTTAAAGTAATTTGCTAATATAAAGTAATCATTGAAGAACAGGATCTTCTCAGGAATCTTAGATACTTTTGGTTTATACTGTATATATATGTAATAATTTTGATGCGTAATCATGCTGGCAGAGTGTCAAGAAGAGACAAAGGTTACGGAATTAGATTCTGACAAATAACCAATCTTTATTTTCACACATATCCAATTAATTTGGCTGACACTTATTCACTCTTAATTAAATACAATAAATTTCTATTTTCATTGATTTTTTAAAGAAACAACGTAGGCATTCAGGAGGGAGAAGCAAAGCAGTGTAGATGTTATTGTGGAAGAAGCTAAGGAAAAGAATGAAAGAATGACATGGTTTTTTTGTGCTAAGAGCATTTATGTTAAGTATATGCAGAAAGCACTGTAAGCTATGATTGGTTAATTTTAGGTTGTTCTAATCACGGAAAGATCTTGAATTTGGGAAAACAGATGAATTTAGGGTGGAAGCACCAAATCTAGAATTGTTAATTTTGAGGTTGGCAATTATCTTTAAAGCAGCTATTGTTTTTTCTCATATCTTACACACACACAATTATATGTATTGTGGATGACTAAAGCATGAGACGAAAGTATAAACCACACTGCTTTAGTGACTAAACTACTGTGATGATATGAAAGCAGTACTACGAAGTTACATAATGGCTAGGCTACCCCATGTAAGATAGCAAAGTCCAAATATAATCCACAGGATAATGAACAGTTCACACAGTCTTGGCACCTGATTTTATCTAGAATTAAGCTCCAACATTTACATGATTGCTCAACATCACTATTGACCTTTTTGCACGATTACCATTCCTTGAAGGCTCCAGGGAGATCCAACCATGCCAGGATCCGTCTTGTGGTCAGATAAGCTCATCAGCTTTGCTCCTGGGAGGGTATGTCTACTGTCCACGGCCACGATTCACCTGCCTCTCTTCATTGCGCTTGCAGCAAACTGGAGTGATGACAGCCGCTGGGCATGCTTCTCTCACACACAAATATATATATATTTAAAAAAAGTCAAAATTTCATTTTAAAAATATTTCATTGTATTTACATTAAGTAATTATTGATAATTTTTGTATTTACAGGTTGCTTCAATTCAGTTAGTACCAGTTGCTTTCAAAATGCCCGACCACTCATTAAAACTAAAGCACTTGTATTCAGGTTTAAACAAAAAGAATATACTTGACAAAAGATGTTGGAGGTAAGGCATTTTTTTTAAATTGATTGGTTATTTTATTTATTTTATTACAAAATTACACATTTCTCACATGTGATCAATTCCATTGTGAAATAAATAACAATTTTTCTGAAATAAAGGCTTCCTTTGCATGCTCCAGTTTTATAAAAGATATCCTCTGTTTCACATTACACAGAAAGTTAATTAGATGTTTGTTTCCTAAAAGAAAAAGGGGTGGCTTGATTGTATTATTTTCTGAACCTTTCAGGGGTTTGTCCTGGATTATCTTGTTTAATATGCAGGCTATATGCAGTATGAATATATGCCATATGCAGGTTATATGCTTCATATGCAGGCTATATGCAGTATGAAGTATGCAGGCTTCTTAATAGGGAAATTGTTGTTCTAAGTTTACCCTCAAATAGAGGCCGATCAGTGCATTTGTTACAATGAAAACGTATGACAAGTCCACATTTTTGTCCCCAAATGCCTAAGGGAACAAGAGTCCACGCAACCCTAACGACAATAGGTAATGATTCTCATTAGTGTATGAAGAAATCTACTGTAAATACCCGCGTATAAGTTGAAAATTTTGAGAAAAAATCAAAGTTCGAAGTAGGGGGCCAAGGAAGGTAAGATCCACCATCGGCAAATTTAATCATTAAATATATTGTTCATACAGAAAAAACACAGAACAGAAAATTTTTTATCTCCATCGTGCAAGACTGTGTATCAGAAAATTTAAAGATATGCTCTTTTAAATATTTTGTGATATTGCTGTTGAATTAAATTTTGTGGTTCAAGTTTAATAAATAGAGGTAGCACAAAAAAATGCGTAATATAAAATCTGAAAGCTTTTGGATTTTTTTAATTAGTTTTTTTTTATTAAATTTGTGTCGATTTTATTTTCTGTTTATTTGAAAAGTCTCCCCACCTCCAATTTCATTTAATTATCTGATTACTATTTTATTATCTGATTACTATTTATCTTCCCAAGCAATGATTTACTCCACTCTCCAAAAAAACGTGAACGATCGTTACAGAGTTGCTTTAGTGATCATACGTGCTGTAACACCCTGCCATACTGGATGCTACAAAATATTTATGTAGAGGTATGACTAGATTTTTGTATGATCAACTAGACCCCTGAAGCAATAGCTTAATTAAAATTATATTCAATGCAAATGGATTTAATTAATGGCTTTGGATTATGACAAAGCACAACAGTGCTATATGCCCATGAGGAAAGAAGTTATTGTGAGGGATTTTTGAGGGAAACTAGCTCATATTCACATCGCTCATAGAGAAAGCCAAGAAAACTTCTATGGAACGAGCTCGTTTGCCACAATTTGAGCGTATGTTGAATTATCACTTTTTCATGATTTTAGTGCTCATCTGCTGGAAAGGGGGGGAGTAGACTGATTTAAAATCTTATTTAGAAATCTTTCATCTTGATTTAGTGTGAATCAATTTTCAATTGGCTACGAAAGGTAAAGAATTTTAACTATGGAAATTATCTTTGTTTTGCAGCAAATAAGCAAATATTTTTTAAAAATATAATTTGTAGGAGATTTTTTAAAATTATTAATAATTTTTTATCATGTGTTTTAGTGCCCTCAACTTGGCTTTATTATGTATTTCTGAAGAACCCTGCCAAATCCAATTTTCAAATTGCTCAAGTTCCATCTCTTTACTTTCTGACAGTTATAATTCTAAAGTAAGTTTTTATTGCTTATTTTAGTTTATTTTTAGTGCTATTAATGATATGGTACTTACATCTTATCCCATTGACAATAAAACTATTTGGAGCAGCATGATTTATTATTAATTAATGGATAAGCCTGACATAACAACACACTTATAACATCTGTGCTTTCATTTGACATAACTTGATTGATTGTCAATAAGCCACCTTTGTTGTTACGAACTCAGATATACACAGCCGCTGGTATTTAATGCGTAGGATTACTGATAGAAGTGTAAGGATGTTATAAAACAAAACAAAACAAAAAAATTACAGACATATTTTATTTTTATTATATTTATCCTATGTAAAATTAATCGATGATATGAGAAATAAGATTCATAATTTCTTATTTCTTTCAGTTGTATTCCTAGTAAATGTTAAATCTATAATGATATATATGCCAAGTGTACTTGGATATTACTTGGTGCCATATTGAGATTAAAATGATGTTTCATAAAATCAAATGCCTTTTTATTTTGTTTGATGTCTACATTGAAATTTTCCGTCATAATAATATGCCCATCTGTATTTGCAGTAACCTCTTCATTGATCAATAAAGTAGCCTCAGAATACTTCATCAAAAACATCTTCAAATCAGCTGAGTTAACAGTTGGATGAATATATGTATAATTAGTTATTATAAATCTTGACGGTCCATTAAGAATTGCATCAACCATACAAATATCATGTGCTTCTGAATCCTGTATTCTTTTATGCTGGTTAACAGGTTAACAGTAAATTTTGCTGGTACACAATCTGTTACATTTCTTTCTATAAATCACAACATCACTAGCTTGGCCAAGTAAACTAAAATACAGCAAAAACGACTCAAACATACTGACTGCACATGTGACTGTGTACCAGACGACCTTATCACTCACATGCGATCGTGCATGGGCACGGAAGTTTGACTTTGCTTCTAAAATTCTTTGCTTTTGTCATGTTAATATGTGTATACCCTTTGTCCAGTGTTATTTATTTATTTGTTTGTGTGTGTGTTTGCTAATGTGCTCTCTCTCCTATCTTGATTTATTTAGATTGATTTTAACATTTGTAGTTTTATAACATTTGTAGATTGTAACATTTTAAATATAAGCATTTACATATACAACAAACAGTATCTTAATTTCCCTTCAGAATGTAATGCTACATTAAAAAAAGGGAGGAAGAAGAAGTATATATTAATGAACGTAATGTGGTCAGCTGAATACACCCTACAAAGCGGTAATAAATTGGAAAATTACCTGCAGAAAGTCTGTACTCATAATGTTGTAAACAAAACTTCTGGTAAAACAAGGACCTAAAAAAGGAAACTGACAAAAGCCTTTTTTTATGAAACACAAAAATGAAGTGGGTCAAATACTGATTGTTTATTAAGTAAACAGGCATTAGTTCCTTCAGAATTATATAGGAATTATTGATGAAACTTTTACAGAATTTCTGCAAACTTTAATGGTTTGATGGTAACCCATATTCATTGTCGATAGGATAATACATAAGTATCAGTAATACAGTAGAATTCCTTTAACATTAAATGATCAATTTTAATTTGAATATTGCATTTGTAATTATTTTTTGTTTCAGGAACTTGCACTTTGTCATGCTTTGCTTTTGTGTGCTATGGCTAAAATGTCTCTGTCTTCAAATGAGATACAGCAGCTTGAGAAATCTGTAATTTGTCTAGTTGATTCATTGATAACTGCATGTAATATATCAGGAAACAGATCCATCATAGATAGTTCACTTGATTCATTAAATTCCAGGAATCATGCATCAGCTTATAAATTATGCAAGAAGCTTTTCGTGGGAACAGGTTTGGATTTGGATACTGTAAATGTAAGTTAAACTGTTTTTAAATATATTAGCACTAATAACATTTATTGTGATTTTATTTTGAGTGAATTTTTTTATTTATTATGTAGCAAAGTTTTAAACATATGAGATTTTATGTTGATTAAACTTTTAACCAGTATAACCAAAACAATGCACTTTCACAATACTGTAGTCTGAGAAACTATTAATATAAATTAGAAAAAAACTGAGTTGTTGCTATCACTTAACCTGTGCTATAAAATTCTAATAGTGAAAATATGCAAGTTATGCATTAAAGTGGAAGGTGATAAATTCCTTCATCGATGTAAAATTTCTAAATATAATGAAAATTTTGCTGTTCAGGGTTGTCTTTCTGCTGGCAGAAAATAGTTTTTTCCATGCCAGAAGCAGAAGCTAGTTCTGAACTGGTTAGCACTAATTATAGTGGTTACTTAACACTAGCTGTAACTGTTTAACACTGTAACTGGCAAAAGTGGCAACAATTGAGAACCTCTCCAAATCATGTGAAATAACACATAAAGTTAAAATAGCATGGAGTGAACTTTTTCTTTTCAAAATTTAAGAAACTGAGTAAATTAGAAGTATAAGAACTCCTATAATGATAGTGGCAGAAACTAATAAAAATATTTAAAATGTACTTAATAGGTTTTAAATGCTTTGTTTGAAATGAGTACTACATTATTAATTCATGTTCAGAACTTTATTAAATTACTTTTAATAAGTAAAAGTTTGTCTATATTTTAATTTATATATATGTATTAAAAATAGGAAGTAATTTACTTTAATCAGTATGCAATTCAAGAAAAGGCATGAGACCCAGGCAATTTAATCCATGTGAGTTATCGAATACAACGTTTTACTTTGTATTCATTGTAAATACTTAAGGTTTCTCAGAGCAGGAAATATAAAACTGAGTTAAGTTTTGCCCGTGATTCAAACAACGAATCTTGTAACTGCTAGCCGGATTGCTGGTTGCAACCACCAATATTACTACAGCACCCAAGATGGAATTTGATAATTCACCATAACTAAAATCGGTTTATGTGGTCCTTAGAAGACCTTAGGTTTTTTAGAATCAATATTAGGTCCTTAAAAGTGCTTAATTTCGGCCAAAATTGGCAGAAGGCCCTTAATTTTAATCATCTGAAATTTCTATGGTTATTTTTTGAATGGATGATAAGTTCAAGGGTTATAATTTGTTCCTATTTCTAATATAAAAATGGTGGGATACTTGAATTTCTGAGCAAGAATTGAAACATAAGCATTTCAAAATTATCTCATTTTTTCTAATGAAGAGCTCTTAAACAATGTGTTGCTTTTGGGGATGTGAATTCTTTTATTAAATGGCTCTAAATTTGGAAATTTATCAACATTTTGGCGATTTTAAGATCAGTTCCTGTAGAAAATTTTTATTCCAAGATCTAGGAATTATATGACTGTTTTTTTTTTAAACATTGTAACATTGATAAAAAAACAAGGTATAATGCTATAAGGCACAATTTATGAAACAGTTCTTAGCAAAAGCAAAAATAGCTATGTAATTAATTAAAAATGTCTTTTCAATTTTTTCATGATAAAAGGCTTTTCATGTAATTGTCTCATAATGTGCATCAGTTTTCTGTATAAAATTAATTTTACACTTTTTGCTCCCCCTTTTTTTTTTCAAAAGAGAGAAGTTTTTCTTGAAGAAGTTGAAGAGTTTTTCTGTAATATGCTTTTTGCTATTATAGAATTGGTAAGGGTAATTTTTTTTAGGGTTTTAGACATAGCACTTTGGAAAGTTTAGAAGGATTTGAAGGCAAGATTTATAGACCTACATTTCTAGAACATTCCAGAAAAATGTCTCATGGTATTAACACGTAATAGATGTATTTTACTGAAAGTTTACGATCAATTTCATACTTTTTGGAGAACGTCTAGAAGAACAATGAAAACATAATATTTGAATGCCTTACTTCTGATACTAGATTATTTTTCTTAACATTCTTATCTTCCCTTTATTTTCCTTACTTTTCCCTAGACACAAGCATAGAAAATATCAAAAATGCTTCTAATCTTATCACATGGGCAGACATTATAGAAGTGGATTTTTTAATTAATAAAGAAACTGAAAACTGATAATTTAAATAATTCTTCTAATGTGTCTTAATGCATCATACACAGGGCTAGTGCTAGGCATTTTCTCATCTGATGCTATTTCTGTGGATCTTAAATTCTATTGCCTAGTGTCTTTCTAAATTCTGCTTCGAATGCCTGTTCTAAATTTTGGAAGTTTTGCAATTCCTAGATTTTGTTGCTTGGTGTGTCACTAAATTCTAAAAATTCTGCCATGCTGGCTTTGTAACTCGCCCTTGCCATATACATTTCATATTTTTTCTGAATGTTAATATTACCAAAAAAATAAAATTAGCAGCTTTTTCTATACATTCTAAATCATTTAAATTTTTTAGTATAACAGAAATCTTTAATGAAATCCAAAAATTCTAAAATGAAAAGGGAAGGTGTTGAAGAAAGAAACTGAATACGTAACGAGAAAGAAAACTATCCTTCAAAGATATGTACAGTTTTTATTATATAAATTATCCAGTTGTTTATAATTTCAGCCTTTACTGTAATTTCCCATTTCTGTTTCCTCACAGAATGAAAATCACTTAGACAGTTTTTAAACTGATGTTTTTGGAATGTGTTTCTCACCTCCTCTTGTTCGCTGCATTAGTTCCTGCCATCGTTGATAATTTGTAATTATTCGCCTGTGCATTATCACTGCCGGCATTTGAATTCGTAATGATGATAGAGTTAATACTTACATTAAAATTAAGTTGTACAATCTTTGAGCACTAGTTCACATTTTTAGTTTGAATTTGACTCTTCTTAATTACATCACCACAAGCTGTAATTAACTTTTTTAGCATAAGAACATACCTTTATGTTCTAAGTTCTTTTTAAATAAGAGGCATTTTTCAAACCTTTGTCTGACTTTGCAGTAGCTTTCAGACATAGCGATAATTTGTTTCACATCTGTGGGGGGGTTTTCGTCGGACTTTTTAATTTTCACCAGATCAAGTAAACCCTCATAGTTACACTGTGAAGAGCTTGACAATTTAGTAGATAAAGTACCCAGAAACTATTGAGAACATTGGTTTGTGTATTGATACAAATTTCTAATTGTTAGAAAAGATGCTGAAAGAGAAGGAAATTGATATAAATTAGCCAATATGTCAGGGAAGGCTTCAAAATAAAAACATATATAAATATTTTGTTGAATATTATTGCTAATTGTCCTAATATTGTTTAAAAATCAATGTAATATATTACATGTATTTTAAACTTTAAAATTTTATTAGATTTTGATTTTAATGGCATTTTTTAACAAATATTGTTAAAAAATGAATAAAATTTAATAGTGGACATGTAAATTCATAATGACTAAAGTTATCTAACTATGTAACTTAAATATTTATAACTAACTGCTTACCTTTAAAAATTGTCTTTGCATATTAAAGCGAGTTATTTGCCTTTCATAAATGCTTACTGTTGTCCCAATATAAAATGTAAACATTCTGTAAAAATTCTTATAAAACTTACTTTTCGCATCTAGTGAGACTTAATACAAGACAACTTATCACCTCTGGTGCATTAGTAGCTTATAGAAACCTTAAAGTAAATTAAGTGGTTTCAACCCCTGGAACTCTACATAAAGCTACGACACTAACTGCATCATACAGAGTCCAATTAACTTTCAAAACTTGTCAACCATGCTTACATCAAGATTTCAGGTTTGTTCTGATCAGTAGGCAAGCAGCAGTGGTGACGACAGCCAGTCTTTTGTTATGAGTCGTGCTGTTTATATGATTTTACTTCTCATTTTCACCTATGCCTATTGACATAAAATCTACCTGCTATTTACTAAACTTCTAGACTGAGCAAGTATGTGACAAAATGAGACATAATAATAATAATAATAATAATTTAAAAAACATAAAGCTAACTGTTAGTAAAATGTAAATAAAATATCATTTATTTTATTTCAAATATGTCCAACCATTATAAGTGTAAGATATTTAATGCAACTTGATAAATTTCATGGAGGTTTTTTTTTATTATTATTTTCAAACTCCTTAATAATTATGTTATTTAAGTTATGTTTAATACTAATGCATCTTGCTTATGGATCTATAGTAGAACTCATTATCCGAATGAATTGAGACTGGAGCCCATTCGGACAATGGATTTTTTCCGAAGAAAGGGTCTATGTACACTTTTGTTAATTACTGTATGTACTGCATGTTGAAAATGAGAGGAAAAAAAAAGAAAAACAGGTTTTTAATTATTTAAAAGGCAACACTTTTACATACATGTTAGATAACGTATTGTACAGTACTTACAAGTGCTAAAAGTCATTGCATGCTAAACATCTCGGTCAAAGTAAGCTGCTTGATGGACACCGTGCCTGTACTTAAAATTTCTTAGCCAGCCGTTATATGCTTTAAAGGATGACCAGCCAAGCTTCTGAGCTAAGATCCTATCTTTTTCACAAAGAATCGGACCTGAAATTGGGTTTCCCATAGAACGTTGCTTCAAAACCACTTGAAAACGACGTCTTCTACATTTTTGTTTGTTGCTGCCTTCATTGATTTTCTTGAAGAATTTCCATCTTCATTTTCAAGCGGTGACACAAAGTTTAAAATTGTAGGTTTGCTCCTTTTAATGTTTGAAATCATTGATTGCCAACACTACGTTTTCATCTTAATTTTTTCCTTAAATTCTGAAAGCGATTCGGATAGTCGGTGTTTGGATAATTGATTGGAGTTTTACTGTATTTTATTTTTAGGATGGTATTACAAAAGTGAAATTCACAGAGGTAATATTTTTAATTGAATTTATTCAGTTCCCATTCCTCATAGGTCCTTAATTTTTTCATTAATGGTCCTTAAAAGGACTTAAATTTCAAATAAAATGCTTTGAAAAAAGATTTTGGAAAAGTTTGGAAGTCAAATATTAAT